ACCTGTAACCACCTCAGGTGTTTGCCTTCCTCCCAGGTTTGGTCGAAGCAGCAGGAGGAAGAAGGAGCTGACGGAGGCGGCAGAACCAGACTTGGACCTGCTGCCCTTGGCGGCTCGCGATGAGGATGACTCTGCCTGTGTGAGGAAGAGGAGGCGGGGCTTCCGACTGGCGTCCAGGTGCCAGGTCAGCAGAAAAAGGTTGAGTCTATGTTCCTCTCCTAGAAGCATTTATCTAACATCCATGGTTTGTTCTCTCAGGTGGTGAAAGTTAGTCACAGCACTCAGACTGTACGAATGGTCATCCCGACTGTCCATCAGCTGTCCTCAGAGGCTCCGCCCCCAAACCTCCCTGCAGCCAATGAGAGGACCCCAGAGACCCAGATGTTGCATTCTCTTCCTCCTTGCTACTCCAGCATTGTCAGCCCTGTTCAGCCACGCACCTCTCTGATCTACTTGCTCTGTGGCCCTCCCTGCTCCGTTCCCACGTCACCTGAAGGCTCTGCCCCCAAACGCTGCCGCAGGCGGCGCCGTCCTGTCGACCTGCAGCGCTTCAAGGTCAAGTATAAAAGACTTCCTGTCAAGTTCTACGAGCCCGGAACGAATCAGATCCTGAGGAGCCCTCCCCAGAGAGCACTCAGACCCAGAGGCTCCGCCCCCTCAGGGCAGCCGCCGCCGCCGTGTGTCCGCCAGCTGTTCCGCAGTCTGAGTCCAGACCTCAACATGGACAGACGGCCAGAGGGGGGGCCTAAGAGCGACGCTACCCTGCTGGGGACGCTCAGTGGAAGGAACACTGCCAGGAGGAGGGGGAGGACGCCGTCTGCAGCTACCTGCAGGTCACAGAGGGGGGGCAGGCCACGCCCCCCGCAGTCCCAGAGACGGACACAGCTTCAAACCCCGCCCCCTCCACCTAGGAGGGAGGGGCTCCGACGAGCAGCTCCCAGTAGGAAGCCTCTCCGTTCTCCAGGCAGCGACCTCCATCCCCCCCGCAGGGGGAGGAGCCAGAGGGGGCGGGGCTGTGAGAGGGGGGGCAGGTAGCAGGAAGGACTGTGATGTCATCTAGCGAGGATTAGAATCTCATTAAAGCAGAACAGAGAAAAGTTTGGCTCTGGTTGCCATGGTGACACAGTTTGTACTGTTTTTACCTCTGGATCAGAGGCTGTGGTTGCCATGGTGACACAGTTTGTACGGTTTGCACCTTTGTTCCTGTTGAATAAACAGTTTTTTTAAATCAGATTGCCGTTAGTCTGTCTTCACTGCGTCCACCAGGTCAGACACCGAGGCGCCCACCTGCAGCGCCGCCTCCACTAGCTCCTCCTTCATCACCACACCTGGACACAGACAGAACAGGTGGGTTTGTCCCGCTTCTGCGACTGGACCTGAGATTGATGGACATCTGACCTCTGTCCTCTGTGTCAGCTCTAACCTGTCTGTCCACCTGTGTCTCATTCTTCCTGTCCTGTGTCTCACCTGGTGTTTTTTCTGTCCACTTTTCCTCCATCTTCAATCTGTCCACGATCTGCTGCAGCTGCTCTTCAGGACTACACATCCCATGATGCTCTCCTTCAGACAGACAGGAGGGGTTTGTTTGTAGGCCCGCCCCCTCTGGCTCCCCCTGTTGTCCTATTGGCTGATGGTCTGATGCTTCGTCAGGTGACGGGGACGGTTGGTGTTGCATTGTGGGAGATGGAGTTTCAAGCTCATCTGGGCTCCAGTTCTTCATCAGCTTCTCCTCTTCCTCAGAGCTCAGAGAGTCGGAGGAGGGCGTGGCGGTTCCTCCCGCTGCATGTTCCGTGTTGTTAGCATGTTGCTCTGCCTCCATCTTTCTCAAAGCCTGACACACCAGACCTGAATGTTAACTACAACTCCCATCATGCACTTCACCTCCAGCTGCCAGCAGCCTACCTGTGTGAGCATGTCCTGCAGTCTGTGGTTTTGCTGTCTCACGGTTTCCATGGTAGCCTCCATCTCAGAGCACCTGTCCTCCAGAACCGCCTGCTCTGATTGGACGGTGAGGCGCCACGCCCCCAGCTGCTGCTCCAGCAGCCTATTGGACAGATTCAGATCCAGTCAGAGAACCTGCGACGCCCCTTTCCGGAGCAGTGACGGTCTCCAGACTCACCACTTATCTCTGTGCAGGTTCCTGATTTCAGCCTGCAGCGCGTCCCCCTGCTGGAAGAGACATGTCAGTCCACCATCGGACACCGCGTGATGAAGAGGAGCTCACCTGGGAGGTCATCACCTCATCGGTCTGCAGAGACTTGCATGAAGAAGGAGGAGGAGATGCCTGCACTGAGGCATCATGGAGAACATCGGAGGAGGTGGGGTGAGGCGAGTCCGCCAATAGCGACGACGCATCAGAGGTGGGCGGAGCTCTGAGGACAAAGCTTTAAACCTTCTAACAGATTCTTAAAGGAAACCTTCTGCTCTCTCTCACCTGTTTGGGATCGGTCCTGGCTCCTCCCCCTTTATGACCGTCCTCCCATTAGCCCCTCGGTGAGTAGATCGCCGTGGTAACAGGGCATAACGAGCATTTTGCACAAAGGAGGACAACGACTCTCTCCAGGTGGGCTGATTAAACAGAAAGAGCACAAGAGGGTGGAAGCCTGAGTTCTGACCTCACCTGTCACTGATCTCTGGCTCTATCTCACCTGTTCGTCTCCTATGCCTCACCTGTCTGTTTCCTGTCTCACCTGTTCTGACCTCACCTGTCTGTTTCCTGTGTCTCACCTGCTCTGACCTCACCTGTCACTGATCTCTGGCTCTATCTCACCTCCATGTCTCACCTGTCTGTGTCTCATGTGTCT